GGGGGGGGGGGGTATATTCATATATTTATGTTTACATACCGTAAAAATAATCGATTTCAAAAGAAATCCGTCGGGAGAACACGAATATATGGATATACACCCCCCTGCTGGACTACGTGGTGATCGTGGAATTAAGGATAGAGTTACGTAGAAATAGGGTTAGGATTCCACTCGATTGTCTATGGTCTAATTCAGTTATAATTAATTTGGGGGGTCTTACAATAATTACGACCTCAAAGTCAGGGTCTTAGCTTTAATTAAGGTCTTATGTTCAGGACACACCTTTGTGAAAGTGCAGTAAAATATGTGTAATTTTAATATTGGGCATATTGATGTAAATATTTTGATTGGGATCCTATTTTTCAAGTATATTGAGATATTAGGATCTTAGAGTCATAGCTTTATAGGTCGTATAGTTTCCCAGGAAGTTACGTGGTCTCCGGTCTCCCTCGCAGCCACTTCCTGCGTTGTAGGAATGACCGGCGATATGAGTTAAATTAAATTAATTTAAAACGCGTGGTGCAATGACGAACAGGCGCAACATAACGTGCGTAACGTCATGCAAGGAATAAATTAGAAAGAAACATTCAGACCTGGAGTACAAGGAGTTTTCTATATGTAAATGAAAGAGGCACAAATTTATAGAAGAGAACAATATTTTGCCGTTAACAATAAAAATTGTGAAATAGCAATTGTTATTTTTTAAGCTAAGAGTGACAACATGCACGCAACATACCAATGTTACTATGGCTACAGAGGTATCATATCCGTATGTAATCTTTTGAATCTCATTTGTGTATAGTATCGATATTTGTTTTTATTCGCAGTCACAACATTGCATCATATTACAAAGCACTGGAAGGTTAACTATTGCGAATATTCCGCTACATTTTTGAAATGGCTGATCTTTGGATTATGCTTGGTTTCGTAATAAAACTGGTGCTCTTCTGTTTTATCGTGCTTTTCCTTGTCTTTTCACTGTATGTTTACTACATGCACTACAAGCTTAGCCATATTGAAGGCCCGCCTCGAGGCAACTTTTTTTTGGGTAATTTGCTCGAGATTCGCAGGAGAAGGCTTATTGATGGCAACAATATACATCAAACATTGGCCGACTGGTCGATTGAATATCGCCCTATGTTTGTCATATGGTTCTTTCATGTCCCTCTAATCGTCATCAGCGACGCCGATATTGCTCGTCAGGTGCTTGTCGTTAAGAATCTACCTAAGGATCATTTTGGTTATAAGAGATTTCAATATGTATACGGACAACGATTCCTTGGAAGTGGCCTTTTCTCGGACTTGAATCGTCTCACTTGGGAGACGAAGCGACGTACGTTTACACCGTTGTTCCATCGAAACAAGCTGTTCGATGGGTTTCCAACATTAAATTCCTGCTGCGATAATTTCCTCAGCAGGCTGGAAAAGTATGCCGACGGAAAAACCGAGATCTCCCTAGCTGACGAATTCTTGCTGGTAACTTTGGAGACTATTCTAAAGGTTGGTTTCAGTCACTATAGTATAGGCATCTAATCTTGGTGTCAAACAACAGAATAATATACCCAATATTTTTTATAGAGGGCAACGGGGGGAACGTGAAAGGCAGAAATAAAATCATTATCCCGACCTCTTGCCTATTGCGTAATTTCTCCGTATGTCATCGACTTTCTTGCTTGCAAATATTTATTATTGACCCTATTGACCTACAGTATATTGCATCAACCTGCAATCAAAATGACAAGGAACAATTGGCAGGAAATGAGGAGGCGGACATCGATAATCTCATGGCAAATATATGACGTATATATTTACTGGAATTACTATTAAACTATATATAAAGCATGCAGATCTTTAACTTTTTTATTCTGATTTACTTGACTACCTATCCAACACCGAACCGGTCCGAACGAATGCGATTCGGTACATAATGTGGTTTCGCTCACTTAGCATTAATAAGAACAAATATACAATATGTCACTTTCCCACGAAAACTCAGACACTTTCATTCGATCATGAATACCCACCATATTTGGGCCTTCCTAATTTTACTATGTCTATGATCAGGGACGCCGGAACTGGGGGGGCAGGGGGGGCGGCTGCCCCCCTTGCCTTTTGCTAGGGGGGGGCAGAAGTGCCCTTTTAGTTATTAAAAAATACGTGATAAATCACATTTACAACGATGATTTTTGTACGAAAATCATTAGATTCAGACAATTTACAGTTTATATTTGACTTATTGTCTGTCCGGAAAAAGTTTTTGACCCCTAAAATGGTACACTGACCGAAATTTTTTTTGCGACGGGGGGGGGGGGCGCCGAAATTCGGAAGATTTTGAAGTTTTGCTTTAGAGAGGTGCCCTTCCTGTGGGTCCGCCCCCCTTTGCCTTATGATCGTTCCGGCGTCCCTGTCTATGATCAATATCCTCATTTAACCCACAGATGACTCAGGCTTGAAGCTTCGTAATAGGACGTACAGTGTCGTAGCGAAGCATCTGAAGATTGTGTGTGTGTCTGTGTGTG